TACATAAAAATAAATTCGTTTTGTTGAGGTACTGTTTTGATAGGTCTATTGGTGCTTGGTTACATCTATCTGGTGGATTTGCTAAGTGTATCCCACTAGGCAGTGTGTTTATATAGAGAATGTGAAGTGGGAACAAACATGATTTTTCTAGATATCTCAGGTCAAAATATATTGTATGCGGTGTGAAACAACAGTGACTGATTTAAAACCGGGAAGCTGTAGAGTGCTGAGAAGAACAACGATGGGGCAGGTTAAAAATGTGATACTGAAGTTATACTCTGCTTAATTTAATAAGTATATTTTAGAATCGAGCATAGAGAAAAATGTCGGCATGTTGAAACTATAGTTTACGTCACTGGTGATATGTTGATATAGCACTAGTGACCCTAATATCTACGTCAAGATAGACAAAGTTAACTCAATCTTATCATCTCATAAACCCACAGCTAAAGTAAATTGATAAAAAAGTAACCAGTCTGCCAAGTTATTCCAACAAACACTTCAAAAAGATACGTTCATTTGTTCTGATAACTTTCGTTAAAAATAATAAGTAACAGTCATCCGAGCAGAGCTTGAAACGAACGATGGTTGCCAAAGTGCGAGCGAGCGAGCCAGCGAGTCACCCAGCGAGGCATGCAATTCATGCGAGCCATGACGGTAATTTATGCGGGACGTGTACCAACAGTGCGAGTCAAGCGAGGCACACAAAATTCCACGCTAACAAACACTTGTACAATTTATAAAACAATTACAATAATTAATTAACTACATTTAACATAATTATTTTGATGTTAAAAAGATAATTTCCAGCTATCCAGACGTGACTTCATATAGGCCTATAATGAAAGACAAGCTAGGCCTATGTAATATTCATTTTCACACACAATCTGCCCATTCGCCCCATCCATGGAGGGAGGACCCTATTTATTTTTTACAAAATAAACATAACTAGTAAAGACAATTAAAAAACATGAAACAGAACACAATTGAAAGAGTACCGTAAACGTCATAGTTTAAAATGCATAAAAGACTAATAAAAATTAATTTATGGGCTAGCATCGTGTAATCCATCATGTTTTAAAAAACAATTAATAATTACACAGTATTATTTATTCAAATAAATGCTCCACTTTGAACAAACGCCCCCACCCCCGAATAACCCCCCCAAAAGTTCATTTTGAATAAACGCTTAGACGTTAAATTTTTTTTCAATTGTCTCTATATATAAGTAAATATGGACGGATGAAATGGAAGCAACATCATTTTCAGCATTGGACTAATTATCAATGTTTTACCCTAGTGAAATTAAATCAATTGCTAATTAATTAGGGATTTAAAAGCCATGCACAAAAACACTTACCATTAATTATGCATGATAGTAGACATTTACCAGTAAACACTGGCTCCTCAAAAACCCATCTGAACAATAAACGCCCCAGGGTGCTTATTCAAATAAATGCGCTATATTATAATTATTGTATAATTATATATATTTTACTTAATTGTCTGACTGCAATGTCAAATTTGGCCTATATAAAAACAAACGTATGATTAGCAAATCAAATTATGAAAAAGTTGTTGATGCTCTCCTTGTTTAGTACAGCATTTTTGATTAATTTAAAAGAAACGCAATTTTCACATGTATACCACAAAAAAAAAAAAAAAAAAAAAATTATGCCTGCCCTTATTTTATCCAATGACGATACTGTACTTCTTTTTCTTTTTTAAATTTATTTATTCAGCTTTAAGCACTAGGGCCAAGGATGAACTATTTTATATATGTTTGCAATAAAGTATTATATTTTGTATGCATGCAGAGGCCATGTCAAAAAATGTATAAATATTATAATTATATATTGTATAAACAACAAAATTACCTTTTCTTTCATAAATTACAACGGACCTTCAGCGGCTCTTTTCGTCATTTAGCCAATCAAATCAATGCATTCAGTTCAGGGTGTGGTGAAATGAGAGGATGATGGAGCTATGTGTGGCACATTTTTAGGAAGTTTGTACAGATAATAGTTCACAAGTTGTGGTTATGGTGATCCTCAAAAGTATAGAATAACACCAAACTATTTTAATATTCTATTAATTCATTTATTATTTAGGCCTATTTATTAATCTATCATAATAAATCTAAGAACAATAACACTAGTTATTTATGGTACGACTCGACTATTCAGAATTCTCTCCGTCCGTCGTCCTCTCCTGTTCCTGTTGGTTTCGAGGTTGACGAGGCCTCGTCGCGACTAGGACTATTAGACTCTCTTCCAGGGATATGACCGGGCCGGGTTGAATTAAGTCACTTTTGATGGAAGGAAATGGTTTGATTTTAGTATTACTCGATGAGAAGGTCATATAAACATCATAATTTATATTAAAATATTGTCATGGTCACTTTTACTGAGTTTTAGCGTGTTTTAAGGTGCCTCGCACTTTTGGTACAATACTGTAATTATACTTCGTCCTGTCTCGCATGAATTGCAGTTGACGTGGTCACCAGGGTAGATGGCTTGCACGAATCGCTGACTCGCCGAAGCGAACGACTCATTACTAACGTAGAACGTACGTTCCAGTAGGTTGCAAATCTACTGTCTGTGTTTAAGTATCGAAAAACCATCAACATTCCGATTTGACAGTTAATTTAAGGGTCTATAATTAATATATTTTCTCGTTATAATTTTTAATTGATGACAACTAATAACATACACTACGGTATAATTTTAAAATTAATAACTAGAATTGGGATAACTTTTAAATTGTCCACTTCAAAGTCTACTTGCACCTATGGCTGAGACACAACCCATACGAATAGTGGCCAATAGAATTGTTCGTCGTGAGAACCACAATTTTACGAACCAGAATAGAGACATAGGCCTATGACCTTCTGGTGTCAATTGTTTGCTTAAATTTTAACAGATTAGAAAACTATTCTTTAATAAACTGAGTTTCTGAGATTTATTGGTAATAACAATCAACGTTAAATTCTTAAATTAAATTAAATGTTAGATTCTTTATAAAAGCGCAGGCAGTTATTTGATCTTGTTTTTCTCTTTAGGTGTGTTAATTCCTCATTCTTGTTTAATATGTTCCCATATATTTCTTTGAAAGTTCCCCGTACCAATATGCATAGGCAAGATATTTTTTCCCGAAATGTAGAGTTAACGTAATTAAATCTGGATTTATCAGTAGACTTTCCCCTTTATATAACTCTGTTATAAGCAATGAGTCATTAATTGATATTTTTCACCAGTTAGTTATTATATGAGGTAGGTCTAATGTTGATCTCATTTAGGTCTAATGTTGATCTCATTCAATTAAACAACACCCCAGTCTGGAGTCAACCGGAAACCTATCTCTGCATGGAAAAGACACACACCATAAATAAAATATAAAAACAATATTAGTTCCTGTAGATAAGACAGAATGATAGTTATCGTTAAGAGGACGCGTTGTACTTCACCCATACTGCTTACATTATAAACCCTCTATACGGATATAGCGTAGATAAAATCATTTGGCGAATAAATACAATATTATATTATCAATTATCTTTTCAGTTTATAAGTTATTAAGCAGGATCATCATAGGCCTACGAGGATGCAGACTATCACTATAGAGCATAGGTTCAGATATAAGGGAAGACAAATTACGGTCATTTTTTTCAACTTGCTCAATTCCAAATTAAAGTTACTGATACTTACAGTTTATTGCACTCCATGTTGATGATGTCATTAGGCTGGTGGCTTTTACCTCCATGATGACATGGGCACTGACTCGGAAGCACGCACTCGAATCCATCCCAAACGTAATTGTCTTTACACTTGCAACCTTCCAAACATTGAGCTGGTGTGCAGTCTTCAAACTCGTGCATATTGGTGCAAGTTTTCACACATTCTGGGACACAGTTAGTCACTTCCTCGTTGACACCACACGTAATGGGACAGCTTGTGTCACTGCACAAAAACGAACCTCCCAAACAAGTGCTGTGAAAATTATTGAAATGGTTAGGATAATAATTATCTAAATATATAGTTATGATGTACTTAATTATTTTTTTAATACACTTATCGTATATTCTCAGTATATAATAAACTGCTAATTTGCTAGTGATATCGCACCAGCTCGAAAGTTTTTAAGTAGGTATAATTTAGTAAATTTCTGCTTCCATTAATAATAATAGATTCATACCATTCTCCGCAACCTTTTGGGACGACTTCGCCAGATTTATATACCGAACCATCCATCTCGCAGCTACATGCCTCAGGGATAACGCACGTACTATCCCGATCAAGCACCGTTCCTTCGGGACACGAACATCCTTGGACGCACTGCTCGGTACAGTTGAAATTGCTTGAAAGTGATGCGCACGATGTAAAGCAGGAAGGCCCACACTCCCAGTATACAAGATTCTCATTTGAACACTCGATCTCTATTTATTAAAATATTACATAATTTCAGTTAACAATATTTTACAGCAGCTAATTTCATTCAACCTTCTTGAAAATTTAATTATAAAAAACATGTCATGGATAAAGTAAACGACACTTATTTAAAAAGAGAATATCAATAAATGATGTAATGAAATTAAGTGTATATTAATCAAAAAAGAAAGGCAGCTTTCAGAAAACAACCTTAGAATGAACCATTAATATTAAAACCGAATATTTCTTTGAATGTTCTTTAAACTGGGGTCGAACAATACGAACGCTCAAGAATAAAAAGCTTATGTTAATTTGAATTGAATTTTGAATTATGGGGTAACATTTATTAAGTATAAATGTTGCTTACTGCATTGATCAATCTGTTGTCTCCATTCCAAAACCACGCCTTTATTAGCACAGTCTAATGAATACTGGGCAAATGCGTCACATTCACAAAGCCCGTTTTGTTGACAGTTGCATACGTCATAGAGGCAATCTCGGTAATAAGGAATTGGGTCAACGACCTGATGACATTCTATGGACATAAAATGTTGAATTTATAATTGAATAAGGTTAATAAAACTTTTGTTTGTTTTTAACAATATTTTTTTTTGATAGTGAAAAACTTCCCAATTCACGATTCGTTCAACGCCTAAAAAAGCATAGCTTCTGGAAGCTATGGCTTGTCTCTACAATATAGAACAGCTCAATAATCTACTGGAAGACAAAAGTTGAAAATGAACAGTGGCTGTTGAGGATTAAAAAGTAGTCTTAAGCTAACTGTCATTAAGTGTACATAGGCTAGTGTATGGTGACGATTATGATGATGATGATGATGTTGATGTTGATGTTGATGATGATGATGATGAAATTTAATGACAATATTGTCATTGTAAAATACAGCAATTAAGAATTTCGCTAATGTAGCCTATAATAATCCTGTTCAATCTATTTCTTCAAGTTAAAAAACAACTTGTATAAAATCAGTTTTTGTCTTTTTACAAGATGTTAAGCCCAATGCATTGGGGGTACAATCATGGTTGCCGCCTTTAAATTGTATTCTATAACATAATAACAGTTGTGTTGTACCACAATTTTAAATATTAGAAGCCATAGTGCAAAAATTAATAGTTTTCGAAATGTTATTAATAGATAACATACCTTTAAAATCATCATGGTCTTTTAGTTTCCGACATTGCAATTCGGCAGTTGGTGCCCTCTGTGAGAATAGATCACAAGGATGAGGGACTGGATCTATTGGTAAATCAGGACACGAACCGTACACTTTCCATTTGTTGCCAAATGAGATAGCATTCGTCTCGATATCACCTAAAATACAAAAAAATATGGCTTAGTGATAATATTAATGATGATAATAATATAATAATAATAATCTTCAAAATTATCATAATCATCATCACCTTTATCATCATGACATGACAATCATAATTATTCACTATTATTATCTTACCAGCTCTTGTATAGAAGTCATCGTTTTGTTTGTTAGTGTACGTTCCACATAAACCGCACGTTTTATTGTACTGTTCTGCCGGTACAGAGATCTCAACTCGTTTTGTTCCGTCCCAGAAGACTTCGATGTTATTTTTCAAAGTCACCTGGATAAATATTGAATGAAAGGTTACTAATAATAGCAATAAAAAGGATCACAATGATAGTTAAAATAATTATATTGATAATAATAACAACAATGATTAAATGAATAGTACAATAACATTGATAATATAAATATGATCTTTGTTGTTCTACTTACTCAAAAAGCCATGGTTGAATATTAGGGAAAATGCCTTGATATAAAAAATACGTAAAATATTTTGTATATTTTGTTTGTATTGTTGAGATGAAATTGCCCCTGTATGTTTAGTGTCTATTTTGAATGTTACCTTGATCATTGCTTCTGATGGCATCTCAACATACAGATGATCATTTCCATAAGGAAGGCTATCAATAGTTATTCCGTCGAATGTCGACACAAATTCCCTTTGTAGAATGACAGTAGATCCTCCCATCTTGATGGTGACCGATTTTGTACAGGTGATTCCAGGACCTCTGCAAGGTGAGTTTTCTGATTGGATACTGTAGTCATTATAGTGGTCCCAGCAATCTTGAACTAATACATATGAACAATCGCCTTGGAAGTCATAACGCTTGCTGTCGAAGGTACGATAGTGTGGATCCCCAGAAGCCCAACATTTTGCTGCAAAATATACATGAACGAATGAATAACTGAAACAATGAATGGACATTAGTGTGAAGAATCTGTTTTACGGTCAGTAACGATTATTTTATTGTCACCAAGATTGTCAGGTTTTTTTCTTTATTACTGATAATATTCTTAAAAAGACGGAATACTGAATTTTTACATCTCTTATTTTTTGCAAGTGTGTTTGATATACTATTTTCTAAATACATTTTGTCTCGAAATTGATTTGGAATAAGACACTTAAGAACTATCAGCTATAGTAACTTACATCCACAGATATTGTTTGTACAATCAGTCCACAAACCGCCACTGCACTTGCTGTAATGCAGAAAAAGACCCAATGCTATTATCTTCAGACCTTTTTTTATAAGCTTACAAGACCTACATGAACTTACAACATTTTGTTATTAATATATCTCAAGTTATAGTACTGTATATCTAAAGTTATTGCCATACCATGTGTTACATCCTTGTTTGAGAACATGGCCCGACGGGTACTCCCTATTGTTATATTCACATGGGCATTGATTGGGGTCAATACACTGACCATTCTCCCATAGCTGACCTTCTGGGCAATGACATCCATCTAGACAATAATCTCTGACGCAGTCTCTCTGACGATTTTCACAAGTAGACGGACAAGACCCACCGCATGAGTCATATACGGTGCCATTTGTACAGAGAAGAGCTGAAGATTTACAGAAAATAAATTAAGATTGTGTAAAACTGTGTATTCAAAAAATGAAAATATAGATAAATAATAATTTACTTTAATCATTGGCTAAAACTGACGAGTAGTCCTACTTTTAAAAATGTTCTATTGTAGGAATACTTACGACAGAGTTCGTTTGTTCTCCAAGACAGTACGACATCATGTCTGGAACATTCCAGAGCGTAAGCAGAAAATGTATCACAAGGACAATCGTCTCTTGAAATGCTGCATGAGCAAAGGTCTTCTTCACAGGCGTAGACGTAAGGGTTAACATCAACAACCTAATACGAGAGAAAACAATGAGTTAATGAAGTTATGTTAAGTATTATAGATGAGAAGCCTTAAAAATACTGTATCAAGCTTCTTCTAAAATGTCCATGTGATTTTTCATAAATGATACTTAGGATTTGGGTATTTTTATTCGTCATTAAAGAAGACATGTCATCTAAGCTTGAACATTGGAACCAGGTATATACATTTGGGCCTGAGGCATAGGCCTATCATTGTTTTTGTATGTCAGTAGAGTTTTGTATTCCAATTTATATAGGGCCTAAGTATGTTATGGATTGAACATTTTGTTTGTAAATTTACGCAATTCAGTGGTTTTATACTTCTATTTCAACATTTTTTATGAAGTGTAAAAAAAAACTTATATGGTGTTTCCTCCAGAACATTTTTAAATCACTATTATTGCATTTTTTTAACCACAAGGTTTAAAAACGAAAAGGGAAAAGTGAATACATATACGAAAAAAGAAACGGGTTTTAGTTTTTGGTAATGAAATTAAGAGAAAAACATTCATTCCAAAGTTTAACTCTAACTGTTGAGATACATTGCGATTTTTTTTGTGGTTCTCACTATAACATTTCTTTGTCTAGTACTATAAATGTCTGTCTGTGTCTGCATGCGAGAAATAGGACAATACATCTTACCGAATGACACTCATCAAATGGCGCACTCATCAGCAAGTTGCAACTCTCCGTGGCAAAATTGGCCTGGTCAATTAAATGTTTGTAAGCTGGGTTGTCGTAAAAGTAGGGTGGGTAGCTGGCTTCAGTACACCGCACAGCTGGCGGGGGCGGAGCCAAAACACATGTACCTAGAATAGTAAATTATTAAACAAATTATCATCTAATATTCAGTTCAAAAAAACCTAAGGCAACCTAAGGAACAACAGAATAATCATATACCCCGGAACCCCAATAATATTTGATCTAGCCAAAGATTAAATATTCATAAAACATAGGAAGTATTTATTATAATACAAAAGTGATGATACTGTTTACGAGAAATAGAGAATGGCATCATGGTATGATATATTAGATTATAAAGTACACAATTATTGATATTGATTAGTTTGTTAGTAAATTGTACTTACTAGAAATACCACAAAATCTAAATACTCCAATACTGTTGGATGATGTGCTGTAGCCTATGTAGCGAATACTTAGTGGATTAGCATCGGACCAGAACATAAATGGATATGTGCTTTGTTCATCACCGACCGATATACGACCATTGTCCAATTTTATCCAGAATTTGGTAAAAGTTTCCATGTTCACGAATCCGCCTGATCTTAAAGCGGTTGCCAACGTCGGACATTGTTTGCAACGCCTAATACCAGACTTGGTATCGTTATTTGCTCCAATATATATTTCATACATGGGATCGACGTCGCTGTTTGAAGAGGACAGTGAGATGTACACATCACCGTACGCGCGCACTTCAAACTCGAAACGTGTAACGTCATTGAGAACCTCAGGAAGTTTGTACCGATATCGGTATGTGGTATCAGTTGTGTCAGTAATGCATTCTGTTAAGAGCCAGTATAAATTCTAGTCAACTACAGTATTAGGTGCATAATATAAAGCATGTTAAGGACGTGATAATACTAGTTTAAATGAAAGTGGAGGCATTATTATTATATATACATGTCTCCAATTAAAGACCACTTTTGGGACTCGGGTTTCATTGTAACTTTGGAATAACTTTATTTTGTATAACTTTAGAATAACAAAAGTAAAAACATTTAGTAATTTGGGACCACAAAAAAGTGGTCTTTAATTGGGGGTGGTCTTTAATTGGAGGTGGTCTTTAATTGGAGGGTCTTTAATTACAATTATAATGATAAACTAAAACGATATATCCTGATGATGACATAATTAATGTCGAAATATTGAATCCCAACACGATGGCGTGTATTTCAATACTTGGAGTATGTATTATACTTTCCTAAAACGATATACTGTATATGATTAAGGAATGTTTTATGGAAAGGGTGGTGATGTTTTTCTTATAACAAAATTAATGAATAGGCTTTCAGTACATACCATCGGTTTGAGTATTTTGCCAAGAATTACCGAATGTGTACGGATCATCATGAACAACGCCGAGTGGATCTGAAAAGTCGTCCATTGGATTATCATTGTATTTGCCACATAGACCACAGGTGCTTCCTTTCAAGCTGGTAGACGTAACATGAACATCAATATATTCGAACCCATCCCAAACAAGACTGAACCCAAGACCGCTTTTAACCAGAATATACGAAGATACTTCTTCAATGATCATTCCATCAATTGACGTTGGCAATGTTAGCTGTATTCCTTTATAAGTTACTAAGGGACCATCGTCTCTGGGTGACAGTTTAAGTAAACTTAAGGGGTCACCGTTTTCGATTGTCACCCAGCGCCTACAAGGGGCAATGCCAGAGCACACTCCTGCAGCCTCATTCCGTACGTAAATGTGGAAGGAAAAATCGAGACAATCAGCTACTAATATGTATTCGCAATAACCCGGAAACGTATATATCTGCCCATCAAATGTATTGTAGTGTTCTTGTCCCCATGTCGAGCAGGTACCAGTGGCAGCAACAGCTGAAATTACGTAATATTGCATGAATTGTGTTTAAAAATTATTTATATATTTTCAATTATTTACAATATAAAAAAATTTGCAAACATAAATTATATAAACTAGAAGATTAAATAGGGTTTTTTTTTTAAATCAAAACCATAGGACAAGCAATAGGTTCTTTCATTTTTTTTTTTTGTAAAATTGTAAGTGGGTTTAAATAATAACTTGATTGTCATATATATATATATATATGTTTTTGTATATAAACTTTCGTGTATATATGTTTGTTATATCAAGGTATTTTTATTCAAATAAAATAAAAGAATAAAAGAAAAAAAAAGTACATTGATCAGAAAATCATTCTAAATATTCAAATTGCAATTGTGATTATTATTTGATTATTTAATTATTACAGTTGTATAAAAATTATTATTATTATTTTCATTTATTACTATAAAAGTATAACAATTTACAAATAAATACAAAAGTCAGATTATTAAAACATTCAAAGTTCTTAAAAAATTAAAGGTTTAAAGGAGACATTTAATACAAAGTAAAAAATTGGGATGGCACAAATTAACAACAGACAAAAATCAGAATATAATTCCAGAATATAATTCTAGAACTTAAAATGGAGGCCCAGTGTATACATCTGGCTCGTGTGCATTTTAAAGAACAAATGCATTTTTTGGAAGAGTAGGGGTTACCCCGATGTTACGGTTCATTTCAGCCCCGGTCATGCAACTACTATGAAGCTCCCCTTTATGGCTGCTAGGTAGTCAAGTACGGACCACGCCCATACGCAATTCAGAACAATGACGCTGCATTTAATGGGTTATTCTCCTATACTTTTACCTTTATATAAAACGATATATATTCTTTTAATGTAGGCTTTTGTCTCATGGGATGATGCATACAAAATTGTGTACTGATGTAGGCCTTTATATACTTACGAGGTGTCCCGTTTCCGGGGAGTGGTGGCAATCGTGGAATCGGCATTGCCGCGCGCTTCTGCACCGGGAGATCTTGTAAGGAAATTGTAACAGACTTGTTAATATAGGCTATATACTTAATATATAACTGAAATTACCAGGTTACCATTTCAGTAATTTAACAAATATTACAACATATAATGAAGTATTATATACTGTTAATAAAATGGCCCTGGGACATAATAGACAACGTTCAATTGAAAATATTTTAACTATTTTTGGATAAACTTAACAAACAGATATTAAACATTCATTTATCAAATGAAATTGTACATGGCAGCCAATTGCTGAATTAAATACAACTGTACATAAATATAAATTATAACAACAAAGTTCAAAAAATAAAATAAAAAGTTAAAAACCATTCAATAAAATGCATATAAAAAATTAATAATTCCACCAAGCTAAAACTCAATAAACATTAAAAATGTACTGTTAAAAAAAATTTTTTTTTAAACCCCTTGATTTGAAAATATCAAACCAAACATTACTGTACAATTATGACACTTTTTATGATAGGTACACTCTCCTTTACAAATAATATCTCATCACAGGTCAAACGGGCTGTCATAATGTTTAAAATATAAGAACGGGGCATGGTGGCTGGATAAAGTGTTTGTTCGTCTATTGTACAATTTCATAGTCGTAAGCGTGATCTATTCGGCAGCCCACGCGCGTATACGTTGATTAGGACTACTGCACGACGGTCAAACTTTTGCAGCAGATATAGATAAAGGGAAGTTACGTTTTGGCAAAAAGACTACCGGTATGCAGATAAATATTAGGCCTATTCTTTTTTATCAATTCATTGATTTTTTTTTGTAGAACTTGTTCTGCTTTCGCAAGAATTCCAAACCCCCAACATTTAATGAATTCTGTTTTACTTTTTTTACCTAACGTTTTTGAATAAATAAGAACAGGGTGCGATGGCTAGATCTAGATAATTTGTTTGTTTGTCCATTGTACAATTTCAGAGTCGTCGTAGGCGTGATCTATTCGGCAGCCCACGCGCATATGCGTAAATTAGAACTATTGTACGACGGTCAATCTTTTGTAGCAGATATAGATGAAGGGAAGTTACGCTTTGGCAAGAAGGCTATCAGATAAATATTAGGCCTATTTTTTCTGTTGTTTTTTTTCCTTTCTGTAAAACTTGTTCTGCTTTCGCAAGGATTCCATATTCCATAATATAGTATGCATATTCTATAAATTGAGTTTGTTGCAGTTCAGAACTAACTTAATTAAAACCAAATCATGGCAACAGTAGGACAGCAATATTATTTTAAGTAAAAACGCAATACAGGCCTCACTCCAAATGATCACTTCAAATTAAAGACTATTTTTCTGCGGCAACAGAATATAGTAATTGTATGCTTATTCTAAAACACGCATCATTCTTAAATTCCCTCAGAGATTAAAGAGCAATTTCGCCAGTCTTTTTAATTTAAGAGATTCTAATTAGGGACCAAATCTTCTAAATAAAACCAAAGCCCTACTGGCAATCACAAAGGAGCAAATGTAAATCTTAAAAGGAAAAACAATTTGTGACCTTGTACATATGAAGATTGAGTCAATTGTCGCATATCAAACAATATAACAGATAAAAAGTTTGGTACTGTTAGGTTTTTCAACAATATACGTCAATTAGACCTATTTCAATTCCGGTAGTTTATCACGATTTTACTACCGGTATTTGTTTATTTTGCATGTGGGCAAGAAGTGTTTTACAATTATAGAAAATGCACTTTGCGGTATCATATCTGATATCTGATAATAAAAATACAATACGAATTATGAACGTGGGAGGAGCAGGTCCTCTACAAAATATCTAATTGACGTCAGAATCTAATCATTACCCTTTTTATTTAGATGCCCATCAAATCTTCTGTAGTTAACATACATACACACATACGAAGAACTGATCAAAATGGGACGTTTACTTTGAAAACAGGAGATTGCAGGCTTGTGTCCTACCCGAATAATCTTTCGTTGAAAAGATCTCTTTTATATACAATATTCACATTTTAAATTTTTAAAATATATGTTCACAGTGCTATGCAGCAAATCCGATTGTCTCAGTTTGTAATCTGTATATTTATACAATTATAATTATTTTAATGTTTCTCTTTGCATTAAATTTAGAATGCATTAAATTTAGAATGTTTTTATATATGTACCATATGGATACATTACATTATATTAATAAAATAACGTGATTGACTCTCTGCATATATTTTAGTATAATTATTATTACCGGTATTTGGTAATATTTTTTTTTCACGTGGCCCACAATTAATTCCTAGCGTTGAGAAACGTATTTTGCGTCACTTATCTGACAACTGATGTCTGATATAGGCCTAATAATAAAAATACAATGCGAGGTATGAACGTGGGTGGAGAATGCTCATTGCACAAAATTTACACAATATCCAATTGACGTCACTATATGGAATATGATCATCATTTATTTACAATGTCGGTACATTTAATGTTTTAAAAAGTTGTATGTATGTAATATTCATGTTAATGACACTAAATGTAACGTGTTTGATTCATCTTTTAGAGTCTTCAGAATAAAATAGTAAATTACTAGGTACTCTAACTGCAAAAATGATCTTTCTAACGAATTGTATTTTTTCCTTTTCTTTCAGGTTAAGAAATTAAATAAAAATTAAATTCTCTTAATAATAATAATAATAATAATAAAAGTATTAATAATAATATTGATAATAATAATAAAGCAGCTTAATCTTTAGAGAAAAAAAAGTAGAGAAAAAAAGATGACTCTTTCGACAGGGTGTTTATCAGTTTTAGTTACGAAAGTTGGGTTTTTGAAACATGATATAGATAACAGGTAGGCATACATTAAACAAACTGCGCGCTGAATAACTTCATAAAAGGAATGTGCGTAGTAGGATTGTTTCTATATATCTCCTGATTTGAGAATTGTTGCGATGGATGTGCAACGAACGGAATTTGTCATTCAATTTATGGCAACAAATAGATCAGACAAAGAAATTCATATCATTAGTGAATATCATGCAGCTCATACCATAATCTATATAATAATTAGGCATATTTCATAGCCTACAATCACAGTACTAAACCGAGGACCTCATATAACTTCTGGGATTCGAAACGTACCGGTCTGAAAAACTTTAACAACATAGATCATCGAAGTCTTCATCTCACGAAGTGAATATAATTCAATTTTTCAATTTAATCGAAACAGTCAATTTTCGCCAAGCATAGTTGTTTTCTGTTTCTCAGTTAGAGTAAAACTGCTTTAACTGCCCCTGACCAATTCTGCTCATCCAGTGGCGTAACGATGGGGCCGAATGCTCTGTGGCTTTCTGAAACTGGGGCCCTTGTTGGGTCCCGGTCGCCAATTCCATCGTGGGATTTTAGATGTGCTCATTTTTTTAATAATGTTTGCTTTGTTCTTTTGAATGTTTGTAATGACGAATAGATGATATGATATCAGTGGCGGATCCAGGAAATTGAAATCAAAGGACAAGGAGGGACTTTCGCCAGTTGGAGAGTCTATACCACCTCAGCCCCAACCAAATTTATGAATATGGCACCACTAAATGGCCGGAAATGGCACTTCACAGACATGAAATTGTGAATATAATTTTTGTTTTATCTCCATTTAGTTTTTTTTGACAAACTTGGTGGGGTTACGGACCGACAGGGCCCTCTCAATTTAATCGCCATTGGATATTATATGATATATGCCAGACAGTCGATTTAAGAGACATCTTATGGCGTTACGTATCAACAAAGTCATTTTTGGTCAAGGTGCTAGAACGAGGATGAACATATTGGTAGGTCCCCTTCGGGGCCCCTATGGGTCGGGGTCCCTGCCGACCGCTGCATGAGAGCGTATAGGTGTTACGCCACTGATCTCATCTCATTTTAGTGGTTTATAAACATTTTTCTGTTATAAAAAATGATATGAAACTGTTATCAAAACCGCCTGAACCTGAACGCAAAGTCCATGAAGCATGCTTTGTAAATCATAAAACATGATCTGACCACTGCATTTCTTACATTACGTTAAAAAAAATAACTGAGCGAGATAACATACAACCTATCTTCTTTTAGTAGCCATTTTTTCTTCTGTTTATCAAAGCTAATCACGACGTTCACATACTAGAGGGTAAGGCAACATGGCTTTTTTATTCTTCATTTTTTGTTTTATATCGAAACTAATTGCGACGTTCACATACTAGACTAGAGGGTAAGCAAGCGAAGCGAGTGCACCTCTAGTATGTGCAGTAATAATGATAGACTTATATAGCGCATTATGGTAAGTTCTCTATGCGATTCACATTAACATTACCCCGGTTATTGTATTAAACAAATATGGAACAAAAACCCAGCTCCCTGGGGAGTATTCCATAACGTTGCAGCAGCTAATCATCGCTTAATTTGGTATTTAACCCTACCAGATACCCATATATACTCGATCCTGCGTGGAGAGAAGCAATAGAGATAAAGTGTCTTGCTCAAGGACACAAGTGAAATGTGGGATTGATACCATGACTCCTCGAGGTTGTGAAACCAAATCGTTCCCGCTACTCCAAAGCACATGATCCTTCACTATATATTTTAAATAGCCGTGTATTAGCTCCATTTAAGGATTACCATAATGAAATATGTAATTGTCTCGTTGGAAGTTATTGACTTATATTTTCTAATAATTTCTTCGACATCCAATAGCAAGTAAATTGCCAATTACATGATAGAATAATGCTTTATGACCTTTGATAGTAGAGTAAATTTAGTTACTTCAGCAGAAACCCTGCTGTGACATAATATGAACCCAGTACCCTGGAATTGGAAAGATTCTTAACCATATGATTCGCCTTTCATCTTTTTTTTTTATCACTGAACTATTCTTGTCTTATTATATTTTCCTCCTGAATTTTACTATTTTTATTTTTTAATGCACCCTGGGTTGGTCTGACTCTGGGAGTCATGTTTACGGACGGCACTGGCCATTGTATTCTAGATATAAGGCGTAATATAAATTCTAGCGATTGATTGCTTTATTCAATCCAACGATCTAGTTTTAGAAATAAAGTCAATAATTTTGCACCTTACCATTAAAATCTCGGTATGCGTTTAGAGACTGATCGGCACTGTATTTGCTAGCATATCTGTATGAAAAAGATCAGAGTTATGTTAAATATGTGAACCTTCATACATGTGAGTACACACTTAATTTAAAATACTACTAACCAATGCTCCGCGCACACAGGAAAAACAAACGTTGTTTGTAACGTTATGTTTCTTAAATTGTTATGAAATGGGCATCCGCAACATGCAAATATCTTTTCAGGTCTCGGCATCTGCTATACAGCATCCAAAACGCAATTTTCGTTAACTCAGACAGTTTAGAGTTTTGAAAGGCGTATTTAAACAACTTCACTTTTTCACATTCATTTTCCGTTAAAGTTCTATAGAATTGTGTTCTTCTCTCCCTCCCGACAGAACATGTGCCCAATGCCGTAGCCAGCTATTGGGACAGTTGATCCCACACAATTTTTCTATTAGGTCCACAAAGAATGGGCCCACATTTTAAAAATGGGTCCAGATTTTTCATATTTTGTGTAAATTGGGTCAACTTTTAAGAACATGGGTCCAGATTTCTCATATAGGCCTATTACAAATGGGTCTATTTTTAAGAAAATGGGTACAGATTATTCATATTTTTGCGTAAAATGGGACACTTAAGAAAATGAGTCCACATTATTTGAATTGACGCGTAAAGTGGTCCACCCCGATATTGTCCCACACTATTTGAATATCCTGGCTACGGCATTTGATGTGCCCTTCTCCCATTGGCGCCATCACTGGATTCTATGAATTCAATACAGTACATGCTAAATATACATGGAACTCAGAATTCTATATGTGGTGACGCCAGCGGTGGGGCAGGGGACATTTTCCCCCTCCATTGGACAGGCCTGGACCCCTGTCGTCCGACGCACGACTGGTCGTCGTATGATAAATAATAATAATAATAATTTGCTTATCCAAATAACGTTATTTTGACTGCCAATCCCTAATTTTGTGGTTTAAAGGCAACTTTTGGACCATACTAAGCAATAAAAACTCTCCCAGTGAACCCTAAAATTTTTTTTTATTTTCCTTGCCGTCGACCTAGACTTCGTCGGCACCTTGGCTCTGACCCCTTCGTCGGACATGACGGACCCACTGTCGACAAATTTCTAACATTACTGCTGTCTATAATGTGCTCTCCATACCCCTCTCAATAGTGGAATTTAAAAAAAATCATTGGTTCATTTTATTTAATACAGAAGATAGCAATAACTGCTCAGGGTTTCCTTTCTCCTGCTCATTGGATTCGGTAAATAGTGTCATACTCTCTTGGCTCTTTTTAGATATGCAGGTAATGGTGATATTTCCAACTCATAAACATCAGGTGCCTAGGCGTATACCCCTCGGGAAAAGAGGCACGCATAGATAAAATGTCATGCTGCAGGCCAGGAGCAATGTGGCTGTGTCCGTCTCATCTCAATTAAATATTTAAGACTACACGTTGCGTCACACACTTCATCCAAAATTAGTCACATTTTCACTTTAATTTGTCTTGAGTTTTATCTAAATGTTTTTATTTTAGTTAGGTTCAGGTATTGGTAGTTAAATATCACATAATCTTGGTGTGGTATATGTAGTTGTAGGCTTTCTTGCTTGTTAACTATGTATTTAAAATTTCTAAAATAAAAAAAAAATTATGATTGAAAGAAAATAACACGATACTCAAAAAGTTTATTACGTAGTGAAAACTAAAAATAGTTTAAACCACAAAATATTACTTGCCAAAAGCTCAATCTGTGCGATTGATGGATTTTCCGTGTATTTACAATCTCCTCAAACTGACCTCTAAGCTGTGATAGGGCAACCCGTACTACACAAAGAGTTACGGTAAACCTGCAATTCATTTTCTTACCTTGATTTTGGAATACCTCTTAAAATCGTACTAGCAATTAAAGCATTTCCTTTATTACGACGATTTTGAACAGGAAGAAACCCGTATTTTTTAGGCCTACCAAACATGTCGCTACCTTAATCTGAGAGCCATTGATATAATCACACTACTTTTACACTCTCTACTATAAATGACAGATGTATTGCAATAAATAACATATTGTTCAGATGTTGTAGAATAACAGTTTCAGAATTGAATAATCTATTAGGATGTAGGTTCAAATAAAATGTACGGTAACCAATCAACATAAAAATATGAAACACTGAAACATAATTCATCAATGGCTGTAAGTTATAATATTAACCTCTGGATGGTCTAGGTTTCAATGAAACTTAACTACTGAATTGTACAAGTACAACCAAATTAATGAACGGCTTTATTGAAACTCAGGACTAACTCCAATAACTACCGTAATTAACAATTAATTTCCATTTAAAGTATAAAATACAATACAAATTTCAGTCAGACAATCCATACCTTGATGTTTCACAGACAGTAGCAAGAGAGAGAATTACAAAGATGAAAATAGTCGATTTGGTATCTACCGGCAATGCCATGATGGCTTTGAAGCACAGGACAGAGAAGCTGGTATTCCTCCCTCACTGTTTTTGTAGTGTCAAAAGTACAAACATATAATTATGTAGAATCTAATTTTTAACTCTAGAGAGAAAAAATCCCTTGTGTCCTTAAACATTCAGCTGTAAATGTTGATGAATACCTCTCCTGACATCACCCTGCTATATAAAAGGGTGAACGTGAGGATCCTGTTCATAAATTCATGAAGATAGTGCCTATCTTGTTCATACATAGATTTTTGTTTGTAATGTGATAAGAGGGTTGCTCTTTGCAGACACCATACTAAAATATCTGTACGGTACAGAGGACTATAGTTTGTAAACAAATCAAGGGTGTCTAAATGGTAGCAAAAGTCCTCTTCCCTATAGAACTAAATTGTCTGACACCGGTCCTAATGCAATCGAGAACTTTCTTCGAAAATATAATAAAAAATATTTGATATAATAATGTATTTCATAGGATTATATTAAGTAACACTAAAACAAAAATAAACCGTTATGGATTGTTTTGGAGTTTGCTTTATAAGTAGGCCTAGTTATTCCATAAAGGGCTATCGTGAACTTAACAGTGTAATAAATAGCCTTTTAGTACACTTATGGTAAAAAGGTAGGCTAAGGGGAAACTTAAACGACGTTAAGGGGAAATCATAGATGGAAACATGCTAATAGCATATACATTTTTTTATTTTACATTGGAATGTATATAGATTTATACACCTTATCTGTGGTCTTCAATCTCTCTTGTTACCGGGTGTACTATCTAGCACGAAGTGTAAATATTCGACTCAATTAGCTCTTTGAGAATATATAGAATCGGCGATAATATCACAGAGACGCTGCCCACACATTTCTGATTGCTAGCCTGCAAAGATTGTGAAATGTGTATTAATATCCACATGTCAAGAAAACATACACACCTTCGAAAAAGTCTTGTAAACGTTCTTTATCGTAACGAATATATATCAGACACGCTTCTTTAAAATTAATTTCAACTTTCTTTTAATTAAAAGAATTTCTGTTATTTAACAACCTTTGCACTTAAAATAATCCCAATTATTTTTCATATTCCTCATCATCTCTCTCAATTCAGATTGATGTTTCATAATGTTTCCTTACAATATTGGTGCCATAACTATTCAAATTCTCCACAATTTATCTTTGATTATTCTGCATATTCAGGGATTCTTTTATTGTAAAGTTTTAATGTCATTTTATATTAAAAAAATTAAAAGAATTTCTGTTATTTAACAACCTTTGCACTTAAAATAGTCCCAATTATTTTTCATATTCCTCATCATCTCTCTCAATTCAGATTGATGTTTCATAATGTTTCCTTACAATATTGGTGCCATAACTATTCAAATTCTCCACAATTTATCTTTGATTATTCTGCATATTCAGGGATTCTTTTATTGTAAAGTTTTAATGTCATTTTGTTATTGCCCTTTAAATTTTATTGCTGTATTGTATGAATATGTTTCCCACTCATGCTATGCTCCTCCTTCCTTGAACATCACTCCCCTCACGGGCGTAGCAAAGTCTAATCAAAGACCTATAGTCTATTCTATACTGGGGAGTCGCGAAGCAAATTATGATTATGGCACCGGGAAAATGGCTTAAAATTTGAATATTTTATCTCAATTTTTTTGACAGATGTAGGGTGGCCCTTGCCCCCCCCCT